ATCTGATCAGTTAATAAGTCTTATTTGTAATCACTTAAACAACAGATAGGTATTTGTACAAAAATACTTACAAATTTTTATTTAATTATATTTCGTATTTAATTGTCTGTCTCCCTCAGAGAGGGAGAGGGAGAATTTTGTAAAGATGTGTTTGTCTCCCAATTTTACTTGCTCTTAGATTGAAAGTTAGTGAATTATTAATGACCATTGTAATTGAAAGAGACTATTTTTTACCTTCAAGAGCCTGAAGAAAATAGAGAGTAGCCTCAGCAAGTTCAGTGACAATTACTCCTTTGACATCTTGCAAGTTCTCCATCAGATCCTTAAACTCTGGTTTGTCCATATTCAGTCTGAATTGTTCAGGGTCCTCAAGAACCTGTTCCAGCTAGAAGTTTGAGTTGGAGAAATAGGCAGGAAAATAATATTTTACAAATGGATTTTTATATGGATGGGTTAGTATAATGTGAGAATTGAATCTGAATACTGCTGTCCATTGGGAATGTAAATGATTTTTTTAAAAATAAGGTAAAGCTTAAGAACCATAGGGGAAAATGCTTTTTTAATTTGTGATAGTGGAAACATAAGTCATTCTTTTCGAAATCTTTTCTTGTGTTGGCAAAAAGGATGTTATGACTTTTGGTAATTGACAGACTGGCAGCCCCACAGTGCAGCTTCCTCCTTCCTGCCTGTCAGGTCCTCTTGACCTTCCCGCAGATGCTCTTTGGGGAGAAATAGTAATGTGTATAGCTGATACCTGAGAGTTGGAAAATCTAGCAGTTGTTTAGGTCTCAGAATCCAATACTCCAAAAAATTAAGTAAAATTTTATTGCAAGAATGAAAGGCAGCCCTTTAAGGTAACCATATTAGGAAAGTCATGCATGCTAATGCTACTTTTATTATAAGATTATAGTATCAGAAATAATATTATAATTTATGATTTTGGTTTTCTAGTGTGGTCTAGTCTACCTGGAAGAATTGACATCAGTCTTGCAAATATTACTCTGCTTCCCCTCCTTCTCTTTTATCTTCGTGAGAACTCAAAACTCTTGTCTGAGACACTTACTCAGGTTACAGTTGTGCTCTAGACTCAGATTTCTTTGATCTAATGGTTGTCTTGGTTGTGGCTCTTCTTCCTATTCCTCAAGATTATTTTTTCTGCCCATCATAGGGCCTTTGGAAAAAATCATCTTGTGAGCCAATTCTGCCCATTTCTGGACTGGGAGGCCTTCGTTACTTATGCCTTAGTCACCTCCAAAGTGCATTACTGCAAGGCAGTCCACATGGGGGTGCACTTGAAGGCCATCTAGAAATAGGAACTGGTCCAGAATGCAATGCCACACACAGTTCTGGGTGCCCTATGGTTCACCCAAGTTACATCACTGCTGCATGAGCTTCAGTAACTCTTAATTATTCCTGCGTGCAAGTCAAGGTGCTGGTTATTACTTTTAAAGGCCACCACGGCTCAGGACCAAGATACATGCAGGACTGTTTCTCCCCAGGAGATAGGTTGGGGAACTCCACGTCCCCTCATGGGACATTGGAGGCATGTCTTCTCTAATCACCACACCCTTTGGCACCCACGTCAGATGCCTGAAATTTGGTTTCCCCCAAGCATTGGATTAGATTGGCTAATGGATTGTTTGATCTGGTGCATGGAAGGCAGGATGGTTTTGTTTTCATTTTTGTTTTAACGGTTGTTGTCAGCTGCCTGGGATCATTATATGAGACATATAACTTCTGTAAGTAAATAAGTAAAAGAATTTTGGACCTCTGTTATTAAAACATAATTGCTGACTAGAAGACAAATAGGGAAGTCTAATGAGAGAGTTCAGCTATTTTCTTCAGTGAGAAGTTTTTAAAGAGGTCAGCAATTGTATAATGATATACTCTTGTACAGGTCACATACAACTGCTACAGTATGTAGAACTGTGAGAAGCAAAGGAAATGAACCACAGTATTAACAGAAACTTCTTTACCTGGAACTCCAGTTCTTCCAAAAGGTCAGTTTTCTTCATTAGAACCACAAAACTAGTTAGAAATTTGCCACGCAGGTTTGAAGACATTAAAGAAAATGGTACATATTCGTTCTCAACTTCCTTTTGAAGGTTTTTCCTATTGTCTACCCAAACAGAGACACAAGTGTTAAAATCAGTGTTTACTGTTCTTATCTTGCCTAATGCCAGAAGAAAAAAATGTGGGTAAAATAGAATTGGTATATTCTTTGCCTTAAGTTGTATATGAAAAAGGCAGGTTAAAAAAAATCTAAAAAATAAAAATTTGGATATTATCCTATTTTAACTAAGCACCAGTAATAAATATTACCAGCATATACCGTAGTATCATTGCAGAGCCTTTAAAGTTCTGTATTTTTTACAATTTGGTCTCTGAATTATGCTGAATATCAAATAATAATAATAATAATAATAATAATAATAATAATAATAATAATAATAATAATAATAATAATAATAATAATAATAATAATAATAATATAGCAGGCTGCCCAGAAAATTGCCAGTATCTGTGATGCTTTCTTCCCTTTTCTTTAGTCCCCGTCCCCAGCATCAGGATGGCAAGGCTGACTATAAAGGCTGTGCTATGAAACAGCTGAAGGCATGTTTGAGAAAGAGAAGGAGAGAAGAGGGAAGGAGGTATATGTTTGTGTGTAGAAATAAAGCAACCTAAAAAGAATGTTTTTCTCTAGCAGTACTCACAAGGAGTAGTAGTTGGAGTAGCAGTAACTATGCAGAAAAGTGGGTAATGAATATGCAAGCGGTTGTGTGTTTTGAGTATGCAAGCGGTTGTGTATTTTGTCTAAAGACCAGTGTTGCTGGATCTTTTGTGAACCTCTAACAATATTATCCAAATATTGACTTAATTCTGCTGAACACTCATAAAACATTATATAATTTCTGCTCATATAGTGTGACTCTTTCTTGATTTTTTCTCATTCTCCAAATACAATATCTCACTGAGGAATTGGGGGGGGGGGGGAAATGGATATAAATTCTTTTGATTATTTTCTGATTCTATACACTGAATGATCCTGTGAGATCCATAGTAAACAAAATGGATAGGCCTAACCTATTGTTAGAAGACTTCATCCCCCACTTCAAATGAAATTATAGATTTTCAATCAAGCTCTACAAAAGACACATACTGGGGATGAGAATCTTCTTTTCCAGTTCTAATAAGTGGGAAAATGCAAAATACGTAGTAGTAACATTTATTTTAATCACATTTGTATGGAAGCACTTTTTTCCTTGTGAACATAATAAGCATATTTCTGATTTCATGTTTTGTATTAAGATAGAGAACCAATAGAAATTTTTTTGGGGAGAATAGAGTAGAGTAGAGTAGAATAGAAAATAACTTTGTCACTTTGAATGTACACTAATCGGCATGCATTAAAATGAAATTTTGTTGCATACAGCTCTCAAAAGGTCACCACCTCTGATATACTCTACATAAATATGACAAAAATAAATAAATACAAAATTATGCATACGCCCACATATATTATATGACACAGAGAAACAAGAGTCTAGTTTGGGTTATGTATACATGTGCATGGCGAGAAAAACAAATCTTGTGAGTTTACCAGACGGATGGCTTAGGGAACAGAGAGCTATTATAGAACTGGGTAGTCCAGCTAGAAATACTTGGAAACCTCCTACCAGAGAGGAGCAACAGAAACTGACCGTAAAGTGGGTGTGTGGGGTCTCTAACAATGCTTTGAGCTCTAAGCAAATAGCACTTATAAGCAGCATCCTGAATACAGAAATATAGAACTAGAGTTAAGAAAGCATCAGTTCAATTTCTGATTGGCATCTTCAGCTTCCTTAATTCCCAGGCCAGGGGTAGGCAACCTTGGCTCTTTTATGACATGTGGACTTCAACTCCCAGAATTCCTGAGCCAGCATGGCTGACTCAGGAATTCTGGGAGTTGGAGTCCATGAATCATAAAAGAGCCAAGGTTGCCTACCCCTGGCCTAGACAACATGGTTACAAGTGGGCAGCAGGTTAGCTCATGTTAAACATAAAGGTTTTAGGAGAAAAATCCAAAGGCTCTTAATTCCTTGGTGCTTGCATTTGTGATTGAGTCCTTTTGAAATATTGACTGCCCCCATTTTTGAATATGTGTATTGACCAAAATATGTCATGATTTCTGCTAAGAAGTTGGACTTCCAGGAAATTAATAACTCCTAGTACTGGACTACATATTTTTTTAAAAAAAAGATACATTTTTTTTAAAATGCCAGTTTTCCACAAAATTCAGTATAAATGAAGAAATCATTTTGCAATGATTTGTACATTTTGCAATCACATGCCACCTAATATCTGCACCTTTGAAAAAAAGAAAAAAGTTCAGTAGTAATCAATAGAAACATTTTGTATTAGCTGGCAAGATTTTAAATGAGCAATATCTGTAGTACTTTCTTAGGTAACCTGTATAAATAGCTGCCAAAATTTAGAAGCATCTGTTGCAGGCTTTTCATTTTGAATTTAGCAAGCTCTTTAGATTTCTTGTGATTGCTTAATTAGGTTTGGATTGACATTGTAAACCATACTTGCATAAGGGGAACAAGAACTTTGAAATGAAGTATGTATACAGTAGAGAAATAAAAGAGAGAACAGAGAGATTTACCTGCACTTTCAGACATAGATGGTATATCTGAAATGCAAAAGAATTACATGAATAGGATGAGGAAACAGAATGACAACATCAGTCTGAGACCTGTCAATTTGGTTGACCTTCCCACCCAGTACAATAAAAAATTTTAAAAGATCTTTGTAGTTTCTTTCTTACTACTTCTGCATATAAAGAACTCCTGTTGTCATCCCATATTTTAGGTTTAGAGCAATGATGTGCCAACCACAGCTTTTCAAAAAGTTCATGCAGTATCTTACAAATGTACAATATTTCACTCACTTGTCCTAAAGCCAGATGCATTTCTTGTGATTGCTTAATTAGGCTTGGATTGACATCTTAAACATACTTGCATAAGGGGAACGAGAACTTTGAAATGAAGTATGTATACAAGAAAGAGAAATAAAAGAGAGATTTACCTGTACTTTCAGACTTAAATTGTATATCTGAAATGCAAAAGAATTACATGAATAGGATGAGGAAACAGAATGCGATAACAACATCAATCTGAGATCTGTCAGTTTAGTTGACCTTCCCATCCAATACAATAAATTTTTTGAAAAAGATCTTTGTACTTTCTTTCTTACCTACTTCTGCATATAAAGAACTGTTGTCATCCCATATTTTGGGTTTAGAGTAATGATGTGCTAACCACAGCTTTTCAAAAGGTTCATACAGTATCTTACAAATGTACAATATTTCACTCACTTGTCCTAAAGCCAGGTGCATGGAATATACATTTCCCAAATTAAGACAAGTACACATGTCCCAGGATAATGTTGCAGGATCCAATCTGAGTCGGTCATTGGGGCCAGAGGTTTTGTCTTCCGAGCTTTTGGATTCATGTTGGAACCCATCCTCAGGGACTTCTCTGTGTGCTTTGGGCTGTTTGGTGTGTGTTATTTATATGTTGTCTGTTGTGTGTAGCTTCTTTGATGTAGATTGGGGAGTTGATGGCTGGTTATTAAGTTGTTGGCTGTTGTTTCCTTATGCTGCCAACCTCCCACCTCCTAAATACTTGATAAGCTGGGGGTAAATCAGCACTATTGTTGATTGATGAGGGGCCCTTTTCCCAGGCTTCAATCACTTCCCTGGCTGTTTTTGTGCCTGCTCGTCCAACAATCTTAGTAGCTGCAAAATTGAATGTATGTCCTTGTTTATTGCAATGTGAGGCGACCAATGAGTTTGGGTCTCCTCATCTGATTGCTTGCTTGTGGTTCTTGCAATGTGGTGGTTAGCTTCCTCTCTGTTTGTCCTACATAGTCACAGGCAATCCATGCAGGAGATCCGGTAGATTACGTTGGAAGTATCTCCCACCTCCAAGCGATCTTTACAATGCATAATTTGTCCTCGTATACTTTTCCAGATATTTCTTGGAGGTCAATGAGTCAGGCTATGTCTTAGTAAAGGCAAGATTAGACTTATTTTTGTGATTTTTGTTTAAAAAACATATACTATAATGCCTAATTCAGGTTTAATATACTAAGTTTTCTTTTCTCTCCCAATGAGAATTTGTGCTCATGTAGTTTTGCAGCTGGGATGGATTTATAACAGCCTAGTTTTTTTTCTTGTGAAAGTAAATAGGTAGCATTATTTTAAACCTCTGACTTCCTATTTTAATTATTATCAGTGCCAGTTGATAAATTCTTGTTTTGATGTTTAATGCCCTCCCTCAACTATACAAGTTCATTTGATGGTTTTCAGCCAGTCATTTCTCAGTCCTGCCTACTACAGAGGACTGCTGCTATGACAATAACATTGGAAGAGGTGTGCTGCTTCAGGTTCCTAGATTCTTCATCTGGATAAGGAACAGTAACTGAACAAAAATTCAGGTATATTGTGATATATTCATTAAAACAGTAAAATAAAATGGCTAAAGTACACTTACCAAAAGTTCCTGTTTTATCAGTTGAGTAATAAGAAATACCTAAAGTAAAAATAAGGAAAACTCAATTGTTTACATTATGCTAGCTAACAATACTGTATACAATTTTTTGAAAGAAGAGGTTATCAATAATTTTTAAGGTTTCAAAGAAACCTAACACTGAAAAAAAGAAATGCCTTAATTGTACATTTACTTCAAATCTTCCTGCCAAACACATTTTTTCAAAAAGGGATGAATTATCCCCAGGATCCTGTTTTGTGCTCCAGATCCTGCTGTGCAGTCTCATTGTAATCTGGTGAGGAAGGCTCCTGGCAGGGATGAAAAAGAATGCTAAGAGGGTATATATTTCAAGAATATATGCTTCCAATCAGGGTCATCCAAAGCATGAAAATCATCCCAGTTGTCTAAATTAAAGCAGGCACCTGTATCAGAGGCAGCAGCAGTATAGCAAAATGATGGAGATGGAGATTACTTTAATTGCAAGGGCATGTACTGAGGAATGTACTGAGGAGGTGGATCCCCAGGAGGGAGGGAATGCATACCAGAGGAATAAGAGGCAATTTAGCTTCCATATGTGAGAAAAAGAGGGCAAAGACAACCCCTCCCTAATAGTTCACAGAGTATATGCAGAGAGTAGGATGAAGGCAACTGGACCAAATGTTTCATTGCTCATCCAAGCAACTCCATCAATAAGAGCAAAATTAGGCAGATAGTCATTGGAATGTAAATGTCTCAGATTAACAAAGTTTGGTCCAATTGCCGTGATTCAGCCTTTAGATACCTTTGGCCTGGATGATTGAGTCTTCATTGACATATTACAATGCATTTGGGTGAGAAATTCCTGAAATTGGTGTGCCAAGAGTTGGTATATTCCAACGAGTCTCTGACTCTCTGCCTAATTTTGCTGACTCATGAAATTGCTTGGAGGAGCAACAAAATATCTCAGATTAACAAAGTTTGGTCCAGTTGCTCTGATTCAACCTGCAGACACCTTTGGCCCAGATAACTGAGTCTTCATTGATACATTGCAATGCAGTTTGGAGAGAAAACCCTGAAGTTGATATGGCAAGAGTTGGTACATTCTAATGACTCTCTAACTCTCTGTCTAACTAATTTTGCTCTGACTGATGAAGTTGTTTGGATGAGCAATGAAATGTCTCAGATTAACAAAGTTTGGTCCAGTTGCCATGATTCAATGACACCATTGGCCTGGATGACTGAGTCTTCATTGACATAAAGGAGTGGAGGGTTTAACAATCGGAAGCAAGAAAATGAGAAGACATCTACACTAATGGAACTCAAAAAACTTGATAAAAGGAATAGCTTCTGAGCCTTCTGTGATAGAAAAAGGAAATCCTTTGAATCAGGAAATAGGATGGCGGAAGTGTGGAGACAGAAAAAGTTTTTAGAATAATAGTTGATTACACTGCTGACTCATGTTCATTTTGCAATATGGCTGGCTACAAAAAGGCAAATGAAATTTTGTTTGCACCAGTAGTTACTTTTTATCATGGAAAATAGTACTTCAATTTGTCTGTTGATGGAATTGCTTGTGGATTGCAGGCTTTGATGAACTCCCGAGCGTGGCGGGTGGTGGCGTGGCGGGTGGTAGCTGATGATTTTAGTGTTGCTCCAATTAAACTGGTGTTGTTTGGGTAGCAATTAGGAATTTGGGATCATGGGATGCTAAGAAGCAATGTAATCTACAAAATCAACTGTAACGATTGCAACAACTTCTACATGGGACAAACATCACATCAAGTTAAAAACTAGGATCAATGAATACCGGCTAGCAGTCAAACGCCATTATCTCAAATCCCTAATCATTACCCACATTGACACCAAACAACACCAGTTCAATTGGAGGAACACTAAAACCATCGGCCACACCACCACCTGTCACGCTTGGGAGTTCATCGAAGCCTGGCACTCCACAAGCAATTCCATCAACAGACATATTGATCTACAACCAGCATACGAACCCCTCAGAATCAAAATCAATTGAATAGTCATCCAGAGACAGCACCAATCCTCAAGCTCCTCCCCCCAGCAGTTCACCTTCCAATGACCCTGACTTGATATAATCTCCCCATCACAAGACCCATTACCAGCCTCCCACTGATGACTCATTCCTGACCCAGTGATAATTCATACCCTTCAATGACCCTGACCTGAAGTACCTCCCCATCACAAGCATCTCTCTGATGACTCACACCTGGCCCATCACATGACCCTCACTTGATACTCCCACACCTGAAGCCTTTATATAAGTAGAACAGTGACACAGATATCCCCTAAACACTGCTGAAGATGACACCTAGCCTGATAACGAAATGTTCGGAAACCAACCCTCAATCTGGGAGAACGAACCTTCACCCTCACTCTTCAAATACCTATACAGGTAGTTATAAACTTTCAACCATTCTTTTAGTGACAGTTCAAAGTTACAGTGGCACTGAAAAAAAGTGACTTAATGACTGTTTTTCACATAACCATTATAGCATCCTCGTGGCCAAATGATCAAAATTCAGACACTTGGCAACTGGCATGTATTTATGACAGCTGCATTGTCCTGGGATCATGTGATCACCTTTGCAACCTTCTAACAAGCAAAGTCAATGTGGAAGCCAGGTTCATTTAACAACACTTTTACTAACTTAACAACTGCAGTTATTCACTTAATAACTGTGGCAAGAAAGGTTATAAAATGGGGCAAAACTCAGTTAACATCTGTCTTGCTTAGTTCTGAAAACTTGGGGCTCAATTGTGGTTGTAAGTCATGGATACCTGTATTTTATTATTTTTTATTTATTTATTTTTATTATTATTTTAATTTCTATACCGCCCTTCTCCCGCAGGACTCAGGGCGGTGCACAGCATATTAAAACAGATACACATATCAATAAAAATAAAAACCCCTCTAAAACCAAATTAAAACCAAATATTCGAAGCTGTGTTCCAATTAAAATTATACCTAAAATCGTCCCTAAATAAAATCCTCCTTAGGTCAGGCCC